TTCTTTTGAAGTTACAAAAGAACCATACTATTAGAAAGAAATTTTAACAAACACATTAGTAAAGTAGTATGTTTTCCCCAAGCAGAAAACCTTCATCCCAAATATATTATTTATGGGTTACTTTTGTTGTTGCCACGATTTATTTTAATTCAATAGAGCTTAGAACTAAAGGGTTGATCATTTAGATTTTAATTGAGATGCTATGGCTTGGGCAAAAAATTGATTTATATATTAAACCATCACTGGGATTCACACATCTTCTTAACCCATAATTTGTTTTCCAAATAAACCACAATTGACACTAAACCAGTACCAAGGAAATTGCATGACTCCTCAGTATCATTACAATCTAATTAGTTTTATAAGATGTAGAGATTTTATATCAGTATCCAACATAAATTTTAACTAGCAATCATTTGGGAATGTTTCAAGTTAAGCTTCTAAAAACCTAGTTAAATGGTGAGTTCAACATTTGTCTTTCAAATTTCTTCAAAATGGATTATAGCAGTTGATAAGTCACAGAGAAGTTGACATCAGTTACCTTGGCTTCTACTATTTTAAAGTGGAATAACTCCATCTAAACACTATTGTTTCTTTGCATTTTGAGGCAACCCCCCCCCACAAAAAAAAATCTAAAAGCCGAAATGTGAACTTTAAAGTAGACTTAGTATTCTTTAATAAACAAACCACACCTGCCCTGGTTCTCAGAAAGAGGGGGAAAAAGATCCCTGAGCTGCTCATGAACACAACACAGCTCTGCCCGCTATCATATCTGAGCTGCAAAATCCAAATGATCACAAGATGGCATCATATATAACACATACTTGTACTCTCTGCTACCATCAAACTGTACCTCAGAATCTGGAGCCCAAATATAGTAGCTGTAAACTTTGTTGTAATATCCCACCTTTAGCACTTCAGTTAAGTGTATCTTCAAGGTGCTCAACCCTGTTTAAAGAGAACCAGATTTAGACACCACATACAGAGTAATTTTTAAAATCTCAATTCTTGAAAATTAAGATTTAGTTATCCATCTTTTCCATTTTTATTAATCTTGGTACTTTGGATACCCTACTGTTAGATACTTTTAATATCAGGCAGTATCACTAGTGTCCACTGCTAGCCATATACAACAGAAGCCAATAGAGTCATAACTACATATGACAGAACGGTATTAAGAAAGTACAATGAGTATCACCAACAAAACTTCAGTGTTATCTAGGGAAACATTCCATAATAAGTATTAATAGTCACTGCACCCACAACAACAGTTTCTGTACTGACAGCTAGTCTTAAGAGCTAAAGTATAAACAGAATCTCCAACTTACTGCTAATCAGGTAGCTTTTGATAAACTATTTCTTCCTCAATAGTCTCCCATGAACAATTTGGTGATCATATGAATTTCTAGAGGTGGATTAGCTCTGAACTGTATACAAAATATTTTAAAAGATTCAAACTATGTAACCATAAATGATGAAAATTACCAGGATTAGTTCATGGTGTTTATTTGCTGTCACAGAATCCTTCCTGATACCATGTCAGGCATTGGTCTATCTCAGGGGTCTCCAGCCTTGGCAACTTTAAGACTTGTGGACTTCAACTCCCAGAATTCCTCAGCCAGCAAAGGAATTCTGAGAGTTGAATCCACAAGTCTTAAAGTTGCCAAGGTTGAGGACCCCTGTTCTATCTAGTTTAGCACTGTCAACTCTGTTTGGCAGAGATTGAGAACACTCAACAGGCAAGAACAGAATGTGTTTGGCCAATATGTGGAACAATGTGTTATGAAAATCCAGAAATCGTTCCGCACAAACAAGCAAAGCCCCATCTGCGGGATGCAGGCAGTACATGAAACCAGGCCCCCTCCGGTCTGCAGAAAAACCTCTCTCCACGGAACCGGTCCCTGGTGCTCAAAAGGTTGGGGACCTCTGCATTAGGAGACAATGGTTATTGTGACACAATATATTCAGCTATAATATTCTCTGCTTTTTTGTGACTGACCCTATTTTGTGAACCAAGTCACTGCAGTTTGTAAATCATGGCTTAGCAAGTGGCATGAATGCAAAACAATTCTGGTTTATTGTTCTATCATTAAACAAGTCACAATTTAATATATAAAGACAGCAACGTAATTCACTTAATACACTTAAAGCAACTGGAGAAGGGAGGTGTGGACAGCCTGTTCAAGTACTTATTGGGCCAAAAGCAACTGTGAGTCAACTATCCTCTCCTAGTCAATTATGTTATGAAAACTTGAAAATCCAATCATCTGTAAGATACAGTTCAAGTCCTACTCAAAAACACATAGAATATCAAGGCAATATCTTCCAAGTCCTGATAGTGAACTATACCCATGATCTCTACTGCCTACTAGCCAATGGGGAAAAGGAGGTATTGATGTAATAAAGCCTTGTCAGTGCTTTTCCATCAGAAGTGCTCATCAGTTTGAGATCCAATTGGAGGAAATGGACAGAACGATACTCCATGTTCCTAAAATGGTAACCCTTGAGCCAACTCTGACAACAGCCATGACCAGATTTGTGGCTAAGTCAGGGGTGTCAAACTGCTGGCACATGGGCCAGTTGCATCATGCGGAGGCCGCACCCATCACGGTTCCAGCAATGCAGAAAAAGTCACAATACATTATGACATGTCACGTGACGTGCCAAGTTTGACACCCATGGGCTAAGTGGTTTAGGCATTCTGAGTGAAAGAACCAGCTTGTACTGTATGTTTAAAAAAATGGTAATTACAAAAATTCCCAGTACACGCTAGAGACAATCTCATATCAATACACAAATAATAAAGAACAGCGTTCAGTGAAAACCTGACAATGTAAAACATAAAAATGAAGCCAGTTTATTAAATACTATTTTGTTTGCTTCATTACTGCTCTCTCTTCAGTGGATTGGAATCATACCCCAGAGTGCCCAGCTCAACTGCTGCAAAGAAGATACCGTAGAGTAGACAATGCCAGTGATATTTGTGGAACAAGAATTGGATTAAAAGGAATTCATATATTATACTAAACAAATGTTTAGTGGAAACAAATGGCTAGGTTCTAACAGCATGTCCTAAGACATGATTTACAATAGATAATGCCGGTACTAACATAAGCCAAAACCAAACAAACCACATTCTGTCTTAGCACAATATATTAACACAGCCTTAAAATCATGCTTGACTCAACTTGTTTAAGCAAATAGACTGTTCAGCTATACACAGAAAAGGAAGATTTTACATAAAACTTACCGTACACTGAAGTAAATTATACATTAAATCTGGACTAAATCCACAGATCTTAGTTTGAGAACAGAACTACTTGGTCACCTTTCCTTTTGAATAGATTATTCCCTTTCTTTTCCCTTACCATCATTGGGCAACTCTGTTACATCCATTTTTTAATTGTTAAAAGACAAATCAACCAAGGCAGAAACATGCCACCTGATTCTGTATCTTTCTACTTCTAATTACAGATGACATTTACTTGATAAAGGCCAATACAAAATAAGTTTTCTATGTTGCAAAACAACATTTAATCTTGAATTTTTTTTCACAGAGACATCACCATTTGTAGGTTAGATACGCAATAAGCACACTTAACTGAGGAAAAAAAAATAAAATGTGCTTCTGACTTCTCTGCCAAAAATATTATTTCACCTTTTCATACAAAAGCCTCTTTTCATACAAAAGCCTATTTGAAACATTTCCATTTGGAAACACCACTATAAGCTTAGCCTTCCTTTTTTAAAAATCATAATACCAAGTGCTTCAATCTTCCTTAAGCCTAATTTTCCAAGATGATCAATATACAGTATTAACTACCTTCCCTCTCTGCCCTACATCCTATTTCCAAACAGAACATTCGGAGCATACTCCTGTGATCAATATTGAACCTGAAAAATAACTTTTTAATGCTAAACTTTTTGTTTTCTAATATCAAGTGGATTGGAAGTACAGTACTGAAGATTACTCAGTGATGACATGAAAAACACGCTGCCTCCTAGGCCTTAGGTTCTTTATTCTAAGAGAAATGCATAAATTTGAAGGGACCCTGGCTACCTTGCTGCCAACTTCTCTTACAACTGTGCTGCTTCATGATCCTCCTAAACAAGCCTAGAAAAATCACATCCATAAATACAACACAGCTTGAACAAGTAATCCTCGTCTATTTTCCCATAAATGCATGCAGGCTTCTATCATGCTCAACTAAAGTTGTAGCTTTCCTCCAGCCATGTAGAAAAATTGCCACCTGTGAAGCGATTCTCTCATCTTTGACAATTGATCACACACGCCACCCAAGAAGAACCCTTTAACCACTGACCTTCTTGTCAGTATGTACCACGCAGCCTGTTTTAGAAGACTGGCTACTCCACAAAACCAAGTTACCAGGTCTATGCTCATCATCAGGGCAAGATCCCCTCTTGTTCCTCAAATTCCTGAGTGCAATGTGAACGAATTTGGATTGCCTCTCGTGCCGGTGAGGTAAAGATCAAGATCGTTTGCCTGTAGCCGCACCGCCTCTAGGCCCTGGAAAACCTCGTCGTCCATGCCAGCCTCCGGTGCCCACAATGGAATCCGATACGCGCAGCTTTAGAGCAGCTTTTTCCCAGCTCCACCCTCACCTGGGCTTCCACCTCTCCCAGGGCTACCCGATCCGGCTGCGAAAATCCCGAGGACCACGAGAAGTGAGCCAAGTGGGGCAGAAAACGCCAATGCTTTCTGCCGCCTCGTGGTCGTCCGCGTTTTTGCAACCTACAGACAGCACCCCCGAATGCGCGGTTCACCGCCGCGGAAAGCAGGAAGCCGAATCTTTGCCGCAAACATACGCACACATTTGCTCCAGCCAGAAACTTCGGCTCGCTTTGCTTCCATTTAATAGATATGTTTACCTCTATTTCTGTATAGGAAAGGCTGTAAACGCCGAGGCGGGGGAGTCAGGGCGGATGCCTAGCGGTGCAAAGTGAGGGCTGAGGAAGCGCCCTGCTGCTGCTGCTGCTGTCGTCGTCGCCGTTGCGCGAGCGGGCACTTACCGCCTGGCTGGCCGTCCAGCGCCTCTAAGGCGTTTCAGGGTCTCTCGGAGCGTCTCTCGACCGAGACTCCTCCAGTAGCGCCGGGCAAGCAAGGCAAAGCAAAGCGGGTGAGCTCATTGGAAGCCAGCAGCCCCAGTCCCCGCCTTCCGCGTTTCTCCCTCAGGCCGCCTTTCCCTGGGCAGCCAGTCTCGTGCTGGGGGAAGGGAAGGAGTTTCCAGGTTGCAATGGATGTCTCGCGTCTTCCCCTTCTCCTCCACCCGTCTGATTTGGGCGGCAGGGCCGGGCAAGGCTGGGCTGAGACTCCGCAGCTTAAGCCAACCCTCACCCCCCCCCCCTGGGCGCGGCCAACTCACCGCGGCAACCCCATTTTTTTTTCCTCCTCGGTTCCTGCCCGCACTTTACCCTCCCCCCACCCCGGGCGGCCAAAGTTCCTATTGCTTGGTAAAAAGCACAACTATCTGGGACCAATTAGCAGGAAGGGGCTCAGCAGGATTGCAGGCCGGGTTTAGAGCCCCGGCCTTTGGCATTCCCGCCTCCCTCTCTCCCTCCCAGGATCAACAAGGCGAACTGGAAGTCAGGGTGGGGGGAGGCCGGGGCATGACATTCAAAGGGGGGGGGAGGAAGCGATGTAGAGTCAGTCGGTCGAAAGGGGAAAAAATGCAACTGACATCTGTCTTCTACTGCGCGTTGTTTGCCTGATCTGTGGGGTTGTCCTTTTGCTGGCAGGGTTCAAAGAAAGCAGCCCGTGGGGAGGGGATTGCTGCGCGCTCTCTGGTATCTGTGAAGTATGTAAGACCTGCGTGTTGCGACCGGCTTCCACACAATGTAAGCTCTGCCATTGTGTGCACTTGGAGTTCATTGTTGTGGTTCCAAGAGACACAGGTTTTTCACCTGAGGGGTAAGCGTTGGGATTAAAAAATGAAGAAAAGGTGTTTTAGAGGACTGAGATTAAGTGTCCCCTTTTTGATGAAGGCAGTATCTTCAAAAGTTGTCGTTAAAAAAAAAAGAACACCTTTATAGTTTTTACCTGCCTTCAGGTGACTCATATATCTTGTCCTTTGAGTAAAAATACTTTTCAAATATTTGGTAAATAAATCTGGCTGAATTCTTACTATATCTCTGCTGTAATAATTTCCTTTTTTAAAAAAGAAAAGAGACACTTAAAAAAAAAACCCTTTCAAACAGATTTGATTTGTTTTTCCTCTTTTTCAGGACCATCTTTCTGGTGGGGTACACAAGAATAAGTCCGTGGAGTACAAGTTGTCCTGAACTTACAACCATTCATTTAATGACTGTTTGAAGTTACAGTGAAACTGAAAAAAGTTATTTACAACTGGTCCTCAACTTAGGACCATCACAGTAACCTCACAATCGTGATCAGAATTCAGGCCCTTGGCAACAGGCATGTATTTACAACAGTTGGAGCACTTGGGTCCACGTGATTATCATTTGCAACCTTTCCAACTAGATTCCAAAAGCAAAGTCGGGGGTGGGAGAACTGGATTCACTTAATGACCATATGATTCACTTAACAATTGCCTTGCTTAACAACAAATTCTTGTTCCATTTGTAGTCATAAATCGAGGACTGTACAGCAGAAGCAGCAAAAAGGCAGAACCAAATACAGAGAACTACTTCCCTCCCCCCTTTTTAATTTAGCAGGTTTTCCCCATTTGCACCTAAGCATAGTGCAAGCATATCCTGTATGCCTCTTCCCCTGCTCCCACATAACATTGCCTTCTTATGATTTCTCATTCTGTAGTTAAAACACCATTTCCCCTCCTCTTCCCACTTCTTCCAAGAGTAGCAACAAGGCCTATAAAATTGTCTAACTAGAGATTAAGGGGACTGTGCTAATCTGAAACAGCCAGATCTGTAATGGGGACAGCAGATTTCATGTACATAAAAAGTTTTCTGTCAGCTGAAGGATATGAGTCAAACCCAAATAAACTGCATTATGGCTTGAATCCAGTCTTCCACTGCCTTCTGTCAGCCAAAGGCCTAAACTTATCATTTGTAGAAAGGGCTTTTTCCTATCTGTCATTTTTACTCCTCTGTGCCAGAGGTCTAAACTGATCACTTTCAGAGAGCTTTCCTTTCTCTTGCTCAATCTATTGTTAACTCTTCCAACTTTTTTTCTCTCTCCATCTTTCTCCTATGCCTCACAATTCCCTCCTCTTTACCAAATTAAGGTGAGAGCAGAGTTGTTCAACCCTGATTTTTTTTTAAAAAAAAAATCCTTAAAATCTTTTACAGAAAATCAAATATTTTATTTTTAAAATTTATATAGTTGACCACCTCATGGTTGATTTCTAGAAGAAATAAATTCATAATTATTTGGAGTTGTGGTGGGGTATGAATTCAGTAAATAAATAATGCTTCACTGTTTGCCATTATGACGCTGATGAAAAAGTAATTGTGATCAAGCCATGCATTTACAACTTTTGCAGGTCTATAAAGCAAAGGAAGGCTGAAGTAAGATTGTAACTACAGTTGCAGTTTCATTTAGCAACTGCTTTGCTTAACAATGAATTCGCTTGTCCCAATTGTCATTAAATGAGGACTACCTATATTTGTACCTGATTACGAGTAGTCCTCGACTTACAATTGCACAGCAAACATTTGAAGTTATAACGGACCTACCAGGCGGCTATTTACGATCCAGATTCAGGGGTCTGAATGGTTGCCTCCCCCAGTGGTCATATGACCGAACTTCAGGACCCAGTATCCTAGCTGCATTTATAGCTGTTTAACATCCTGCAATCACATGATCACCTTTTACCAAGGTTTTGTCAAAAATTGGCAGTTACTTCCAGTTTTCAGCAAAATCATGGATTTACTTAATGACCATGGTGGCTGCTTTATGACTGTCATAAAAAAAGTCACATGATGACCCATTTTACAATCATCACAACTTATGGCTATAATGGGTAGGCTCCATTACATTTGTAAGTCAAGGACTACCAGTATGTAACTTATTTCAAATAGCCTAAGACTTTTGAAAGATGGCAACCTTAAAATGAACCCACCATCTTTATAATAGAAGTATTGAGGGGGCGGTTTCACAAACGTAGCTATTTAACATTTTGATCCAATAATTTTATTATTCTGCATATATATCTGTAAAAATGCAATTAGATATTTATTCAGAACTGTTATTTAATAAGAATTACTTATAAGTAACTATATCAATAACAGCTGAATTTTTAGTGACAGTACAATCTTGATCGGTTGGTGCTTTATAATTGTATTGATTTAATTTGCTGCATAAGATCAAAAAAAAATTTCTGAGTTTACTGTCTCCATCACAATTTAGTGTGACCTATAAAGTTGAAAGCAACCCTTTTAGTTTTCTTTGTAGAGAACTCACAATTAGCTCTGTTGTAAGAAATTACTGCTTTATATCAGTCTAGCTGCAGACATCTTACTTATCTGTGTATCATTACCCTGATGTCTTTTATCTCCCAACATTTATAGTTTCTAGAGCAGTGATTCTCAACCTTTCTAATGCTGTGACCCCATAATACAGTTCCCCATGTTGTGGTGACCCCCAAGTGGGTGTGGCCACCAATAAGAGGGAGTAGGACAGCTAGGGAAAAGGGAAAAAAATGGCGGACAGCATGGTTTGGTGACCCCCATGAAATGGTCATTCGACCCCAAATGGGGTCCCAACCCACAGGTTGAGAACCACTGTTCTAGAGGGTCTTTTAATATTGGAATATACAGGATAATATCAGTCTGATACTTTGTCAATTATATTTTGTGAATAGAATCAGTTGAAAATCTTTCCTTATTTGGAATTATATCAATTTTCCTTCCACAAGAATACCAGAATAATGATCAGTTGAATTCTTTAAAAACTTTACTAGAAAGGATGGGGGATGAAGCTATTTCAAAAATCCTGAAAGCTTTTAATCATGTAGTAAAATAATCTCTATGATTACTTTGCTCTTAGCCTGAACTATATTGCTGTCCACATCTTTAGAGCAAGGAGTTTTACCATTTTCTTAAACAAATTTCTCACATTCATGATTTACAAATCATTACATCCCATAGTATCATTTGCTTTCTTTTAGTGTTTCACAACATGGGGACCAAGCCATTTTGATTTATAAATAGTGGTTGATTGATTAGTACCATGTTTAAACCTGGCAAACTAGCTTAGTCAACAAATCATACTTAAAAGTTAACCCATAGTGAGATGGGTAGCAAACAAATTTAATAAATAAATAAATATATATAAATAAAATTAATATGTTTGAACTTAAATAGGTTCTCTATGTAAAGCATAGAGAACGAATGTATAGTCTGATAAATATCAGCCTCCTTTAATTCTTAAATACAGCTATAGAAAAAAGTTATTGGGGATGGTTATGTTGGGAAGCACCCAGCCAGGTGGCAGGGAGGAAGGACCAAATGTGGAACTAGCCTGGAGTCGCTGCATAACCACAAAAGAGCTAGGTTTGACCCAGACATACACACATTTAACTTCCTTGGAGATTTATCTATTTGCTCCCAGGACTAGGTTGCCAGACTAGGGAGATTCCTGTGTTGTAGGCAGAACATAATAACGTGATTGTTTAATCTAATTGGTTGGGATTGAAGTCCCCAGATTTCAAACTTAGAATCTCTTTATAATTTCACTTCTGGATGTGGGAACCATTCCTCCCACTCTTAAATGCTCCACAGGAATTACACCCATGTTGTGTACAGAACATATACCAGTTTTCTTTAAAAAAAAAAGTAAAAGAATAGGTGCAAAGAGAAACCACAGCCATACTTGTAATGATGCAAATTCTATCCTTGGTCAACTGGTTCCACCCCCTCCCACTGTCGACAGAACTCCATGGGCCCATAACCTTGGGGAAAATCCCCCCTCCCCAGTTTATAGAATCATCTGACTTGGACAAACTTTGCCATCTGGTTTGGGTACATATTCCAAGAGTTATTCAGGTTGAAATGACTTGCAAGAGACAAGATTAGAAACTCCTGTCTGTCTCCCTTTCATCCTGTGTTGACAGATGAGGTAAATAAAAGAACTGTTATCTCTGGAAGAATTTAATGCCCATTAAGTAGTGAAGTCCCAGAAGGTGTGGCTGAAATACTTTGGAATGTCTTGTTCACGTAATCAGGGAATGGTTATCAGCATAACCCTGAGATAAGACATGGTTTTAAGTGTGAGCTCAAGAAATGGGGATACATTGATTTAAGATGCCATCCTGAAGACAATTCTTCTTCTGCCAGTGGGATCAAGACTGTTACACATCCTATTAACCCAGGGGTGTCAAACTGCCGGCCTACAGGCCAGACACATCACGAAACCGCGCCCACCCCATTGCTGGCAATGGGGAAAAAGCTCTGATACGTTGCACGACGTCATGTGACGTCGCGAGTTTGACATGTCTGCACTAACCCATTACATGGTTGGTTCTTTTGGCTTAAGCTATGTTTGCCTAATTGGCATGGTACTCCCTCAGTCTCGTGCAGCATTTTAATTGAAGACCTAGACTTATCTGGTCTGAATCTCAAGGGGCTGCCATTTAGAGTTTACAAAAACTAGAATGGGTATCTATGGTTTGTCATAGGTAGCAAACTGGTTTCTGTAATCCTCAAGTGTAGCTGATTGAAGAAAAAGGTAACCAGTCTCACTAACCGGCTTTAGTGTATCATCTGAATTCACAAGTATAATTTATAATTCTTAATGAATGCTAATGAACTCAGCATGAATATATGAATGCAGCCAGCTAAATACATTTTCAAGAAACAATAGTTAAACCATGGTTTTAGTATCATTGCACATTTTTGGAAATCCTGTAGGAAACTTCTTACAGACAAGACATTTCTGATTTATTAAATTCCTTTAATAGTACACAAATTGGATTATCAAATCTGCTCTGCAGAAATTCAGACAACCACTAAATAGCAAAAAACAACAATCCCATCCCATTGTAGTTTTCTGCATCTCTTTGCTGCTATTTATCATTTCGATCTTTGTTAAGCAGATGTGGTAATCCCATGCATAATAATATGATCTGGAATACTTAAATGTAAAAGAAACAGAATCTCAACAGAATGGTTTGGAATCTGGAATATTATGCTTTTTAGGGTACTATGTCTAATGATACGGAAAGAAAGAAACAGAATATTATCATCTTCAGGAGCTTCCTCCTAGAAGGAGCCAAATTCACAGCTGTTCTTCCACTTAAGACTTCTCCTCTTGCTCTGATATTCAGATAATTTGTCTGAGCCAAACAGCTTTCTGAGTTTTTTTTTTTAAAATAGGAGCTGTGTCTGCTTTCAGTTTCTCAAATTTCCCCTTGCAAAAATTGAAAGTATTGAGAAATCTGTTCAAGTTATCAACCAACATAATCTGAGCTAGGAATGACAGCAGCAAAAGGCTGGTCCAAGCTTTGGGAGTTCAGAAACTTTCCCTCCTGCTATAACATATTTGTTCCTAGCCATTTATTTTGGCTACTTTCTACTATGGTTTCTAGTTACAAAATGTAGTTGCTCTTTTGGTTGCGTTCCTTTGTTCAGACTACCGCAATTAGAAGAAGGCTATTCAAAGGAACTCATTTTGTGCAGCACATAGGCACCAAAATGTAACTGTTCCAGGATAAGAAGCAATGGTCACAGTGCTTACAGTTGATGGCTAATAATTATCAATTTTGTTTTAGCACAAGCAGCTGACCCTAAAAGGTTTTTTAAGGGTATAAATAGAGAGCCCAGCATATAGTTTAGAACAATAGAGCTTTCATGAGATACAGCTGCTTCTTGGAACATGTTTGCACAGAAGCTTCCCACGGTCTCTGTTTGGTCTTTTACAAAGAACTAAAAAAATTAGCGACCAGAAGCACCAAATACAAAAACAAGGATATATTTTGCAGAAGTTTTGCAAACCTCAAGTTCCTTTTCTTTTTACCTATGATGATGGTGTCATTTCATTCTTCTGCCTTGCAGATAATTAAAGAATGTTTAGACCAAGAGCATAAAGTCTCTGGTCCTTTTCACCTGTATTTGTTTGACAGAAGACCATTTTGAATTGTTTAAGAGGAGGCAGTTTTGAATTATGTTTCTACACCTAAAGTAAAAGTATATTTTGGTAGGCTTTTAATCAGCTGTACTAGGTAAAACAGACCAAGAAATAAACTCTACAGGTTGCCTAAAACTGCCTAAAATTATCGAGAACAGGAGTGTCAAACTCACAATGTCATGTGACGTGTTGTGACATATCCCGACTTTTTTTGCCATTGCTGGCAATTGGGTGGGTGTGGTTTTGCTATGATGCATCAGGCCCATGGGCCGGCAGTTTGACACCCCTGATCTAGAATAACATAATCTTGCAAGGCTGACTTTCCTTCTTATACTTCAATTAATTCTGGAGGCATCTTCCTGAGCCAATGTCAAATGTCATTCTGGACTTTAAAAATACTTCAGCCCTTTGCCTAGATAATGGTTCCTATATATTTCTGTAAAGGTGATCTTTCTTAGTCTCTATAGTTTTGCTGCATCAAATACCAATGTCTTTCTAAACTCTCAGCCACCACTGCCTCTCACAAAGTCTTAATGACCAGGTTCATGTTTGTGTGCAGTTAGCCAATTAGGATTGCAAAAATTCATTTGAGCAGTAGATGGCAGCAAAGAGCTATATAAAAAAGTCTAAATTCTAAACCTCTGCTGCCACACTGTGGTCATCTCAATTTTTTTGTTTTGTTAATGTTAGGTAATTCTTTAGACTCGATCTCCAACAGATGCCCACTCCCATTAAAAGCTTTGGGTCACCACTTTTCGTGTATTATGTGAATGACCAAATGTCAATTTTGACCTATTTAGTAAACTAAGATTAAAGAAGCCAATAGAGCTGTGCAGCATTTTGGATTTGATCTACAAAAGATGCTTTTGAGCTGGGGGTATTCTTGGATGGCCACTTATTAAATATCTTCTACTGAAAAACAAACTGGTGATACAGCTTCCTCCCACTGCTTATTGTCTGTGATATTTTTCAGTTCTGGAGTTGAAGTCAATAATTTTCTTTCCCTGCTACAGCCGTTTTTTAAGCCCTGCTACCTATGATTGATTAAGTAAAACCATCACCCCAGTGACTCTCTGCCTACTCACCTAATGAGCCCATCCAGATTAGGTGACCTCCTAGAGGACATATATGGGTTCACCCTAACCAACTTGCTCAGCCCAAAGAAGCTACTTGATAAGCAACAACATGTTTCGAACCAACAAGAAAAGAAATCCAGTTGCCATGACTCATTTTCCAGACACCTTTACCAGGATGACTGAGAATCTTTATTGATATGTTGCCACACATTTTGGAAAGAAACCCTGAGGATGGTCTCAGAATACGATAAGACAGCAAAAGTGTGACAGACTACAGGAATCGCCTACACTTTAACCTCAGATGGAGACAACAGAGCCTCATTCCAACAAGCCTATGCCTGCAATCCACAGTCAAGAGTTACAGAGCAGACAAGATCTTACAGAAAGCACAAGAACATCTTAACAAAAGGAT